ATGTATTATTAAACTCTAACCAAATTTTATTAATTATAAATGAGTCTAATTTATATAAACCTAAGGAAATATTCATATTATTTTCAAAACTGCTTTTTATGAAACAAGATTCAATTATATTCCTGTCAACCATGGACTTGCTTGATACAACTTTCTCAACTTTTTGAAAATCAATTGGATGGTTAAAATCTCTCACATGAATAAATAGAGCATTGGAATCTTGTCCAGTTCTAATGCTATATTTATGTTGTTTTAATCTAAGTTCGAGATTTTTACCATTTTGACCGTAATAAACTTTATCGCAAATTTTACAAGGAATCTTATAGACACATCCGTCAGCATTTTGGGGGAAATTCTTTATCAAAAGTTTTTTTACTGTATCAAGATTTTTAAATACAACTTTAATATTAAAAGTCTTAAGAAGAGAAGGCATGTCAACCAAGTTTTTATGGTAAGGGAGAACCAACATATTTTTAGTTGAATAAGGTTGGTTTTGGTCTCAGTTTTGCAACTTCAAAAAAAACTTAATAATGTTGAAATTGCAAAATCCTTTTGCAACTATGAAAAATCTTCTGATTTATCCACTGATGAAATTAATATTAGTAAAGGAATGGTATATAACTCTATGTTAAAACCAAACATTCCCAATTGCCCTCAAATATTCTTTAAGTCTTATGATACACTTAATAATAATAAAAATTTGCGCCTAACCAAAGCAAACAAAATAAATGTAATAGTAATTATGAAAGAAAATGATTACCAAGAAAAAAACGAATAATCTCTTAGATGATACTGAAACCTATTCTAAACTTAGAAATAATCCCTTAGAAACCGTTAACAGCAATTTCAATAAAACAATAAAACTTCTACTGAAAGGCAAAGAAGAATTAATTAAACAATTTACTTCCACCAATCCATTTTTACCTTACATGTATGGACTAATAAAAACACACAAACCAGGTAATCCAATTAGACCAATTATTAGCTCCATAGGATCAGTTTCGTATAAATTGTCCAAATGGCTTGTTAACATTTTGAGCCCTATTGTTGGTAAAATTTCTAATTCTAATGTTAAAAACAACATAGATTTAGTTGATAAATTAAGCTCCTTGACTGACTTAAATGATTTTAACATGGTTAGTTTTGATGTTACTTCCTTGTTTACTAAAGTTCCTGTTGATGATTTATTAAGTTTCTTATCTGAAGAACTCGTTAACTATGATTTACCATTGCCAGTTCCTACCATCATTAAACTTATTAAACTTTGCATTGTTGATGCAAAATTTGTATTTAATGATAAGTTTTACACTCAGAAGTTTGGTATGGCAATGGGAAATCCTCTTTCACCTGTTCTTAGTAACCTATACATGGAATTTTTTGAAACAAGATTGCTTAACACAATCCTCCGTAACAGAGCAAAATAGCTCAGATATGTTGATGATATTTTATGTTTTATGCCCAAGAATGTAGATATACACCATTTCCTTGGCAAATTACATAGCTTAGCCAATTCTATAAACTTTACTGTTGAGTTTGAGGAAAATAACTCATTGCCTTTTCTAGGTGTTTTAATTATTAAGAGTAAAAATTATTTCAAATATAAAATTTACAGAAAACCTACAATTAACTGTTCCTATGTCCACTATTATTCTTCCCATCAAGATAGAGTTAAACTGTCTGTTTTTTCAGCAATGTTTTTGAGAGCTTTACGTATTTGTAGTTCAGAGTTCATAGATGAAGAAATATCCAAAATTTATGAAATAGCCATTGATCTGAAATACCCGAGAAATGTAATTGATAAATCATTTAAAATTGCTAGAAATACTTTTTACAACCAAAAAAGGGACAACCAATCTTATTCAACTAAAAATATGTTGGTTCTCCCTTACCATGAAAACTTGGTTGATATGCCTTCTCTTCTTAAGACTTTTAATATTAAAGTTGCATTTAAAAATCTTGATACAGTAAAAAAACTTTTGATAAAGAATTCCCCCCAAAATGCTGATGGATGTGTCTATAAGATTCCTTGTAAAATTTGCGATAAAGTTTATTACGGTCAAACCGGTAAAAATATCGAACTTAGATTAAAACAACATAAATATAGCATTAGAACTGGACAAGATTCCAATGCTCTATTTATTCGTGTGAGAGATTTTAACCATCCAATTGATTTTCAAAAAGTTGAGAAAGTTGTATCAAGCAAGTCCATGGTCGACAGAAATATAATTGAATCTTCTTTCATAAAAAGCAGTTTTGAAAATAATATGAATATTTCCTTAGGTTTATGTAAATTAGACTCATTTATAATTAATAAAATTTGGTTAGAGTTTAATAATACATTGGACAAATAATAAACCTTATTTCTTGGGTAGAATATTTTGTTAGTGGGATGTCGTGAGGACCTGTCTAGTTGGACCAGCGGACCTACTGCAGTGTTCCTCTTTTCTTATGAGTCCAGTATTGTCGCGCGTCAGGTGTTTCTTTGTTGTGGGAGTTGACTGTGAGGTGTAGTCTAAGCTCTTTAATTGCCTTCTTTTGATGTATTACTTTCATAGTTCCTTGACAATGTGAGTAGTCACGAAAGCGCTTGGAATTTCACTACTCTTTCACAGTGGTTGTTTTGCATATTTTAAAATCACCTGTTTACTGTGATCTTATTACTTTCATAGTTCCTTGATAATGTGAGTAGTCACGAAAGCGCTTGGAATTTCTCTATTCTTTCAGAGTGGTTGTTTTGCATATATATATATATATATATATATATATATATATATATATATATATATATATATATATATATATATATATATATATATATATATATATATATATATATATATATATATATATGTATGTGTGTGTGTGTGTGTGTGTGTGTGTGTGTGTGTGTGTGTGTGTGTGTGTGTGTGTGTGTGTGTGTGTGTGTGTGTGTGTGTGTGTGTGTGTGTGTTTTATTTGATGTAGGTTTTAACATTATGAAAACAAATTATTTTAAAGCAAATCAGCTGATCTAAGCATTCGACACCCAAGGGAAAGTTCCCAGGTTCGATCCCAGGGCTGGTCTAGAAATATGGGAAAAATTCCTTACACCTGCTGTCCCTGTTGGCCTAGCAGAAAGTAGGTGCCTGAGTGTTAGTCTCCTTACACCTGCTGCCACTGTTAACCTAGCAGTAAGTAGGTACAGGGATGTTAGCTACATGTGGAACCGTAGCCTAGAGAAAAATCGAAAGTCAAAATAGAAATAATGTTAAGTGAAGATACTTATATCTCCAACAGGTGAACACGCCAAACGATCGACAGATGTTAGATATCAATCAAGACAGGTGGATTATTATTATTATTATAATCAAAAAGAAGCGCTAAGCCAAAGCCAGGTGGAGAATTCACGCATATTTATGCCAACATATATTCTCCAACGAGGCACAGTCTTGGAAAATTAAAGATATAAATTTATTCATGAAAATTTTCACTTAGAATACCATTTAGGTTCATGTGAAGCGACTCACTGATACATACTTATAATAGTTTATCAAGGGAGGTCCCTATTTAGTCCGATATTCCAGTATGTGACATGTTGGTTGAGATCTCAACTTCGAAGCCTCATTGTACAGTGGTCGAGTTGTTTGTTTACATTTCGACATTCCGCGTTCGAGTCTCCCATAACTTTTGAAAAACCTACGACCTTTATTATTTTTAATAAAAATTCATTGACGACAGGGGACATAAGAAGGTAAACTACACAGTAGCTGACTCACGAAATCGTAATGACTTGTACCCTGGTTTGTTTACAAAGTACACGTATTTCCTTCATACCCTAACTGAACCTTACCATCCGCAAAAAAAAAAAAAAAGCCTAACTACTTTAATAACCTATCGCCTATTCCATAGGTTAGGTTAGGTAATATTCGTCAGGAAATAGGACAAGTGTTTCCTGAGGAGGGTCTTAGTCATATGATAACCCGCCACTGGAGCTTTTGGTCATCAGACCAAAGCCTTCTACTGGCTTACCAGTCCACACTGTTAACCTATTATGTGCCTTTTGTAAATCACTATTACGACGCAGAGCAAGTTAAACCTTCTCTAAATATTGTTCAATTATCTGTTTAACTTCTATGCTTTATATTGCCTCCTCAAGGGAGGCTCCTTGACGCTGGTGATGGGCTCTTGATCTAGGGAACTGGATCTGTGCTCCGGTTCCCGGAATTGACCCTGAATACCTTCCATCCCCCCCCCAACATGAACTGTATAATCCTACGGATTTAGCTCTCCCCCATGATTATTGGGACAACGGTTCACTCAGATAAAGCTCAACGCTAAGTGAGTTTCGATAAAAAGCTTGTATAATAATAATAATAATAATAATAATAATAATAATAATAATAATAATAATAATAATAATAATAATAATAATAATAATAATAATAATAATAATAATAATAATAATAATAGCAATAATAATAACTTGTATTTTTACAAGTGCATGATACAACGTACAGAGATCATAGCTGACATCAATGACATACTACTATATAGAAAGCCCCTTGTTATGCTGAGCATTTCGGGCAAATTAGGTTAATTTTGTCCCCAGGATGCGACCCACACCAGTCGACTAACACTCAGATACCTATTTTACTGCTAGGTGAACAGTGACAGCAGATGTCTTAAGGAAACACTCCCCAGTGTATCCACCCGTACCGGGGATCGAGCCACGGATCTCAGTGTGTGACCTGAGCGCGCTACCAACCGAGCACGTTGTGTCTGTTTGCCGTTCTGGGTGTTGCGTGTGCTCAGCAGCTGTGTTCTAACTGTTGTTCACCTGAAACATCTGTCAGGAGGGTGAACACACAGTATCTAACAAGCCCTGTTGGCTGCCTGTCTTCGTTTGAACCTCTGCTGCAGCGAACAGAGAAACAACAGAAAACCCGAAAAGGAAAGAGAAGCAACAGGAGACGGTGAAAAAACAGGAGACCAAGAGGCAAGTCAGCCGTTTTAGTACCAGCATGACGGTTTTCAAAGGTAAGTTAGGTTAGATTAGGTTAGGTTAGGTTAGGTTTGTCAGGAAACAGGACAAGTGTTTCCTGACGCGAGTCTTGCTCATATGATGACCCACCGCTGGAGCTTGCCAGTCCATCCCTTTAAAAAACATTATTTTGTATTATGTATCAATAAATGAAAGTACTGTACTGTACAGTAATCTTAAGATAGAATTCCTCTGAAAAAAGAAACTGAATATTATACTGTGAATATTGATAAATTAGACACATGTGCAACTCTTGGGTATCTTTATTGAGGAAACGTTTCGCCACACAGTGGCTTCATCAGTCCATACGTAGGAGAAACTTGAAGAACAGGAGGAGAATGAGGTAATCAGTCCCTCAACCTTGAGTCGATGTGGTCAGTCCATCAATCTTGAATAGAATCAAGGTTGAGGGACTGATTACCTCATTCTCCTCCTGTTCTTCAAGATTCTCCTTTGTATGGACTGATGAAGCCACTGTGTGGCGAAACGTTTCCTCAATAAAGATACCCAAGAGCTGCACATGTGTCTAATTTATCAACATGTCGGTTCTCTGAACCATTCGTCTACTAACTGTGAATATTATACAAATATCGTAGACATGAATGAAAGATGCACTGAAGATATCAACTAAGTAATATTTTGAATATTATCCATCTTTTCTATATAGCTCAATATTATTACCTGGTCCACTCATCCGATTACGCAATGCATGATTTGAAACACGAGGTATGGTCTGGTATGGGAGGTATTACCTGGTATGCAAGGTATGATCTGGTATAGGAGAAATAATGCACTTAGTGACCTCAGGAAGGTGGTGCCTCGATGCAGGTGAGGGAGCCTAGCCTCCACCTCCTTGATTGAAACGTTAGTGCTTTCCAAATATCATCGGCTGTGTGATTTTTACGGGTGAATGTGACCTGACCTGACTAGGTTGGGGTATTCGCTTAAGCCGGTAGGAAACTTGGACCTGCCTCGCATGGGCCAGTAAGCCTGCTGGAGTGTTCCTTCTTTCTTATGTTCTTATGTTTAAAGCTTCCCTTGATTATAATAATAATAATAATAATAATAATAATAATAATTATAATTAAAACCACTGTAATACGTCAGCTCGTGTCTGTTTGATCATTTGTTGATAGTTGTAAATAAAAGCTTACCTGCTTACTTATTTATACAAGTAACTCGCACATAGGTGAGAGAAGCTTATAACGTCGTCGTGAGCTTCTCTCTCCTATGTGCGGGTTATTTGTGTATTGTTCCAGTCACGGCATTGTTCTTTTTTGTTTTGTATTTACTTATTTGTTACGCATCTTCCCCAGCAGTAGCATTAACCTGGGATTATCTACCGAACATAAAAGAATAAAAGAAAACTGGTCCGTTCTAGGGAGAGGTAATACAATGGTAGACTATACTAACATATGCAAATAAGACAAAATGCTGGTTATGGTATTTTATCGTGAAGACGTTCGATCCACCAGGACACATGACATGGGTATTTATATGAGTTGTAGAGAGGCCCTGTGGTGAAAGAACGAGGTCAAGTTGACCCTTGTGAGTAGCCTGCCCAGTACGTGAGGTCAGGTGATCGCAGTGTCAGATACTGGGAGAATAAGCCTTGCTTAAGCCTCTGAAATTATGAATGATCTTGAATTTTGACTGAAGTTGTTGGTTGTGGCTATAACTGGGGACTGAAGGCATAATCTGCTGTGATGGTCACTATCTTCGATGATAAGTCTTGCTTCTGGGAAGTTCGTCGGATGCCCAGATGTTGCATATGTGTCTAATTCATCATCATGTCGGTATTGCATTCAGTTTATATGCATATTAATGCGTGACTGGTATGGCATAAAAAACAAGTCCAGTAGAGCGGTCTGCTTAGTTCCACAGTGCTCTAAATACCATGCATTTAGGGCACCCGGTAAAGGGTAGCTTTATTATGCATCTCATACCCACCCTAAGGGTGTTAGCTCAAAGATTACAGAGGCACATAAAAGGGTCAGTGACTAAATCCCTAAATTCTGATAGCTATTTTTCCACATCAATGTTCTGGTAACAATCATAATGCATCGTTTACACGAACATGAATTAGATTATTTGATTAATATTTATTCATAATATCTGACACTTAACAAGGTTGAATTTAGGCAGGTTTAAGTGACTATGAGTTATTCTCGTATTCTTTTAATTTGTGTTCAGCTGTGTTGTGGCTGGCGTGCGGTGCCTCCTGTCTGAGACATGTGAGCGGACACGGTGAACCTGGGGAACTATATTCTTCCATCGCCTTGACCAGGTGGATCTTTGTCCTCGACCAGATGTTAGGGGAGTTTCTTGCTACCCAGACGAACCTTACAGCTGGTTCTGCCAGGTTAGCTGCTCAGGTGGCTGGGAAATGAACCCCCAACCTGTTTCGTCACATTATTTTCTTTGTGGTTCATACCAGCAGCATCTATGAACCATAAACTCAAACGTAAAGTTTATATTATTGTTCGCAAAACTGTTTGTATATTGTCCTCAGGAAAAACGTACAGCTCTTCACCACATTACATAAACTGACGAGCTTTAGGCTACTCTAATTTAGTTAATCTCCAAAAATATGTTTTCTATAAACCTCTTCTGCGTTTTCTTTTACTTTTCAATGACAGACAAATTTATTTTTACTTAATAATGCACTTGCCCAGTACGTAGATCATCTCGAGCAATAGATTAACTAGAAACATCAGACACCGTCTTGATCATTAAATTTTGCTGGACAAGACCTGCCTTTCACGACACTGAACTTCAGTGTCGTGGAAGGCAGTAACTTGACTTTCAGAGCAGTAGTGACTTTTCTTTCAAAACAATGAATTGACCTTCCATACAGTGACCTGACCTTCACACAGAGTGACCTCTTCTCAGGTACTTGGAATCATATCAGTGGGCAGCGGAGGATGCAAGGGCAAGCAACCACGACATGGACCTGACCCTGACAGGAAATCCCTTACAAGTTTACTCTCTGTTCAAACGACTAGCCCTGTACGGGTCTGAGGTGGTGAGTCTGCAAGCCCACGCCCACGCCCACACATACACCAACCATATCCTATGTGAGTTAACACGAGTGGGGAAGAGACAATAGATGGGGGAGAAGCAAGTTAATTTAGACACAGGTACACATAAGGATACACAGCAATTCACAACTGCAGACCAAACCAAGTTGGGGGTGGTATTGCAATCTATTACTCTAACCAATTATCTTGTATTAGCACCACTTGCTTTAGTGATGAATATGGGGAATACATTTTTGCTCATTTTACTGTAAAAAACCTTAAGACACCTATAACAATCGGTGCCATTTACCGGATACCTCACACAAACATCCCAAATTTCAGTGAGAAATTAAAGTCACTAATAACAAACAGACAAATGAATAAGCACCACCTTCTCTTAGCTGGAGACTTCAACATCAACCTTGGCTTACTAGATGATCAGCCTGTAACTGATTTCATCAACAATATGAACAACACACTTCTCATACCAACAATAACTAAACCAACCAGGCTCACTGAGACAAGTGCAACCATAATAGACCACATATGGATCAATATACTAGCCCCCCTTAAATCAGGGATAATCACAGATAGCACTACAGGACCACTACCCTACCTTCCTCCTGACAAACATTAGTAAACCACCACTTGAATACAACAAAGTCTCATTTAGACTCCATGACGAGGCCTCAATAAGGAAGTTCACAGCTGACCTAGAGATTGTTGACTGGCCTGCAGAATTCTCCAAGGCCAATGGTATTGATGACTGGACAGACATTTTTCTTAACAAATTACTTAGACTATACAACAAACATTGTCCTATAAAAACGAAACAGATCACAAACAAAACGGCTTGGTTGCCCATGGCTAACCAGCACCATTCTGAAATCCATTGACAAGAAACACCAATATGAAAAGCAATATAGACAGGGCTTAATACACAAAGATATTCTTAAACACTATTCATCAGTTCTCACCAAAGTAATAAAGAAAGTCAAACAACTATACTACTCCAGTAGATTCACAGACACTAGAGGAGATATAAAAAAGACCTGGAAAACACTCTCTCAGATTCTAGGGACCCACAAACTGAAAAAAACCAAGAATATTGTCCTAACTAAACCTAATGAAACACCACTACGTCCCACTGACACAGCTAACAAGATAAACGACTTCTTCTCAACCATAGGATCTAATCTCGCCAATAAAATCCCACATACCAATGCCCATGCAGGGGACTACCTAGATGGGAATTTCCCAAATTCCTTCTATCTTGCACCAACTGAGCCCTCGGAAGTCACCGAGATTATAAAGTCACTTAAAAACAACTCAGGGAATCTGTCTAATGTCCCACCATTACTGTACAAGCGAGCGGCCCATATCCTTTCGCATGCTATTTCATTACTTTTTAACAAGTCACTAGAAACTAGCACCTTCCCGAAACTACTCAAGATGGCAAGGGTTACACCAATACATAAAGGTGGTGACCCTACAGACTTAAACAACTATAGGTCAATATCAAACTTACCATTGCTATCCAAAATCTTTGAGAAACTCGTGCACAGGAGACTATATTCATTTATAACAGCACAAAAACATACTCAACCCCTCCAATTTGGATTTCAGGAAAAATAAAAGCACTAATGATGCAATCATAAAAATGCTAGATCTGCTTTACAACAGCATTGGAAAATAAGGAATATCCACTAGGAATTTTTATTGACCTAAGAAAAGCTTTTGACACAGTAGACCACGACATCCTACTCCACAAACTTGACCATTACGGTATAAGAGGCCATGCGCTTGCTTATTTCAAATCTTACCTTACTAATAGGTATCAGTATGTCACCATTAAAGACACAGCATCAACAACACGGCCACTTGATACTGGAGTTCCGCAGGGAAGTGTCCTTGGTCCCCTGCTCTTCCTCATATACATCACTGATCTTCCAAACGTATCCCAACACCTGAAACCCATTCTCTTTGCTGACGACACGACTTATGCCATCTCTCACCCTAATCTTGCCACCCTCAACACTATTGTTAACGAGGAGCTGATCAAAATATCGACTTGGATGACAGCCAATAAACTTACGCTTAACACTGACAAAACCTACTATATTATGTTTGGTAGCAGAGCAGGAGATGCACAAATTAACATTAAGATCGACAACACTCTAATTATCAGACATAATGAGGGCAAATTCCTAGGCCTATACCTTGACAACAACCTGAATTTCAGCACCCACATCCAACACATAACCAAAAAAGTATCAAAACGGTGGGATCCTCTCCAAGATACGATACTACGTGCCGCAAAATGCCCTTCTCACACTATACCACTCACTATTTATCCATACCTCACCTATGCTATTTGTGCTTGGGGATCAACTGCAGCAACACACCTAAAGCCAATAATAACCCAACAAAAGCTGCAGTAAGAATAATCACTAAATCCCATCCCTGGCAACACACCCCCCCCACTCTTCATAGATCTAAACTTACTCCCTGTTCAGTACATCCACACTTACTACTGTGCAATCTACATCTACAGGACCTTAAACTCCATTATCAACCTTGACCTAAAACGCTTTCTTGATAGTTGTGACAGAACCCACAGGCATAACACCAGACACAAACATCTCTACGACATTCCCCGTGTCCGACTAAACCTTTACAAAAATTCAATGTATGTCAAAGGCCCTAAAATCTGGAACACCCTACCTGAGAACTCTAGAACTGCAGACACATTCATCACCTTCAAAACTACCATTAGAAAACATCTTATCTCCCTGATACACCCCGTCAACTAACTACACGAATACCACCTGGTGGTTCACACTTACACTCACTCACCCATTTGACCATAAACAGAAATATTAATCTCAATCTTAAAATAATGAATCCTATGATACTCCAATACTGAAACTATGTACTGTGCCAAAACAAAAGCATTCACATTGCTAAACTCACAAACTAGTATTTAGTCACTTAGCCATAATACCAACTTACCTTATAATTTGTAATATTTTAAAATAAAGAATTAAACTAAGTCTGCCCGAAATGCCTAGCCATGCTAGGCGTTCTAGTGGTACACTCTGTAATTATTATTTAACTACATGTAAACCACACAATAACCAAATTCTGTAAATTCAACATTGTAATCTTTATAGAGAATAAACTTTGAATATTATGAATATGTAAAGTACGTAGGACAACCCAAAAAAAAAGCCAGACAAGGTTTTCCAAGCTACGCCCACAGGAACCCCATTTTGTAACCTAATTCATTTCATTAACCTCAATGAGTTTTCCTCATGAGAATTTTATTGTGTGTGTGTGTGTGTGTGTGTGTGTGTGTGTGTGTGTGTGTGTGTGTGTGTGTGTGTGTGTGTGTGTGTGTGTGTGTGTGTGTGTGTGTGTGTGTGTGTGTGTGTGTGTGTGTGTGTGTGTGTGTGTGTGTGTGTGTGTGTGTGTGTGTTGTGTGGACACTAACCAAGTGGAGATCCTCAGTACACGAGGACGGGAGTCCGGTGCTACCCTCACAACGGGACTTCGAAGGTGCAGCCAACGGCCTGGGGCGCCTCCAGCGGGTTTATGATCTTCCCATCACTCACCTCCTTCAGGGCAGGATCCTCAACACCACCTGCAGCGTCAGTGAGTTCTTAATTTTTTTTCTAGCTAGCACGAAAAGCCCGACAGAACAGATGCGCATCTTCGATCAGAGGAAGGAAAAGCAATAACTCGCATCAAAAATAGGCATTGTACTCATTTCCGCAGGGAATAGTGAAATACATTATTAAAATTCTCCATCATGTGCACATGGGAAGTATATTTATACCGGCCAAATCTAAATTATTTCCCAGCTGGGACTGAATCTTCTAAAACTCTTTCATCTCATTAGTTAATTTGATGACAGTTCTGTTGCAGGATCATACCTGTTATCGTGCCTCAGGCACAACAGTCAAGCAACACCCAGGTACCTATTTACTGCAAGGTGAAAGGTTACAACCGCTGGGGCGTTGACCCCCGAAACCCTCTCCAGGTAAACTCCAGGTAGTCTCCAATCGCCCCGAACACAACCTGGGCCCTTCGATTTTGAGCTGAAGGTGCTATCATTTACCTAGGAGGCATTGAAGCAATTGTTTACTGCGAAGTTCATTTATTTTGCACGAAAATACAGACTCATCGAGAGCAAACAACATCTCTGATACAGAAACCACATTATATACACACTAACACATATATAAACTACATTAAACATCTACATTAAACATCTATATTAAACGTTTAACATCTTCCTGCTAAACCTGTTTGAAATTAACAGATAAGTGTCTGTAATATGTCAGATCTTTCGTTCAGTAACTCGCTGACTGTTTCGTAATTCTTAACGTTTTCAGAGGACATTTTTTTATTTTTTGCATTACAATGAAATAGTTTCCCATTGAAAATTCAGGGTAATGGAAATGAAGAGAAAATACTACGGATAAATGAGAGAAAAATTACTCTGGCCTCGATCCACCAAAACTCCGAGTGACTAAAGTAAATTAAGCGTATTTCACAGAGTTGGGTGTATCCGACTGTGTCCTGGTTGCCAATGTTAGTCGACAGAACGGTGCCTTAGTCACTGCCTGGGAGTGGTACAGACAGGCACTGCTCCTGGCCCCGGAGAACGACACCATCGCTCTCATTAAGCAGGAGATGTCCTCCCTGCTGCAGGAAGTAGGTAGACAAGGCACTGAATGCTCTTTTCCGCTCTTACATTTACTTTCTTAGAGATGTGATTCAACCTCATCTCAAAAAAAAATGTCTGATTTTTTTATTATTAGTTTTAATAAGAATATACAGAATTTTACAGTAAAACGTAATGTTTTTTATTATAAAAATATACATATAAAGTGTGTTAATTGATTTTTTATGTAACAAATTGGTCTAAAACAGTCCTATATAACGTATCCATTTTTATTTAAAAAAAAAATCCGTGATCAACTCTTCGTGATTTCGAGTTGTTTAATGTTCCCCTTCCCTCCGTCAGCTGTACGACGAGGAGGAGGAGGAGGAGGAAGAAAAGGAGGAGAAAGAGGAGAAGGAGGAGGAGAAGAAGAAGAAGGAGAAGCCCGTGCAGTCTTTCCTTGAATCTCTTCCCTTCGACATTGAAGCAGACGAACAAGAGAGGGACTTCAACAGGCTCTGTCGTGGCGAGACCTTCCTAGTAAGTACGAGTCTAATAGCGATTCCATTGTGTTAAATGCATTTTGCTGGCTACAGCTTCATTCTCTCTCCAGCGATGACTTAAGGTCAAAGTCATCAATTATTGATATTTTACGGTCATTGGCCAAACAATGTACTTTGTGCGTTAATCCTTTCTTGGTATTTTGTTTATGTTCGATCATGTATTATTTTGTGTTGTTGTTATCCTGGGGACTGTTATTGTTACCCTGTCTTGCTTTACCTCCTAAAATCATAACATCGATGATTGTGTTTGGCCTGGCAGACGGAGCAGCAGCAACGGGGCCTGCAATGTCATGTGTCTTCCATGGGCTCCCCGTACTTGTTGCTGCGACCTGCCAAGTACGAACAGCTCCTCCGACACCCGGAGCTCTACCTCTACTACGATGTCATCTCCCAGAACGAGATTGAGGTGGTGCAACAGCTGTCGGAAAAAGCCGTGAGTGTTGTCTTCAGTGTTCTTGTTAAAATGCTTGTGAGTTTGTCCACATATTTGTGTTTTTTGTACACTGTTGACGACTCTGAAATGACAAATAGGAACTTCAGAGAAACTTTTAGCAAGGCCCGTTCACCCACAGTGTGGGCTTAAATGTACACGATGTTTCACCTAGAGTGGTGCTTTATCAAACATCTGATAAAGCCTCACTGTGGGTGAAATGGTTTCTAATGAAGCTTTTTCCCTGCTGAACGGCAAAGACTCCTCGAGTCAACACTCATAATAAGTTTACCTCGTCAGCCTCTATATGAATTTCTTAAAAAAAAAAAAGTGTATATTTGTGTCCGTGTCAGCTGAGTCGTGCCGGCCTTCAGTACGTGGATGGACCGAGTGAGCTGCGTGTAGCACACGTAGCCTGGCTCGCTAACGACACACACACAGTCCTGGAGACCCTCTCTCGCAGGATCTCCTACATGACTGGTCTCCACGTGCACGAGGGAGAGGGACCAGATATGGCCGGAGAATTTCTGCAGGTAACCAGAGAGATTTGCTTTCGAGCCCATTTTGCAATCGTGTCATTACGATTTCGTGAGTCATTCACACTTCTAAAATAATATCCCAGCATTATAGGCAATACTGATATAATTTATTAGCAGGTAGACTTGACTGGTCCTCAGGGATCAACATGCAACTGCTTCTTACAACAATGTTCTACTCCAGGTATGCAACTACGGCGTCGGAGGATACTTCATCCACCACCACGACCCACTCTACAAGAACACACCGGAGAACGAGGCAAGGAACCACTATCTATGATACACCTGTGACCGGTTTCGAGAGGGTTTTTTTTATTTTTTTTTTTACACTCGCAGCCCAATCTAGGAAAAGTTATTTTTTCCTATAAATTACCTGTCTGATGCTTTGAACTTAATAAGACATGAATGAAGCCTGACCTCGTCTCTAATGTCTGTTCAACCTGGCTCTTCTATGGCTTTCACTGTTTCACCTTCACTCACAAAGTGAAATGATTCAGAACCACCCAAAAAAAATCATATAGGTATCATTTCTAAATTGTTGGCTTACCAAAAAAAAAAAAATCTCCATTACCTGTAATCCATACTTTCGAGAATTAATATTAGACTACAGTTCGGTCCCTCCTGGACTGTTATTAGCTGTTTATGATTTGATAATGGTTCAGAAAGGACCGAAGCGCCATTTAAACTTTCTCCTCCACAGCATTACAAATAAAAATCTCCATTACAAAAAAGGCTCAAAGTTACTACAAATGGTCAAAAAAAAGTGGTATAGGTTCGAAGCTTAACGAAAAAAACAATACCACTTGTATGAGATCTGTTTGCACGTCCATTCATCTCTTTCACCAGACATTTCTCGTAACCTCAATTAAATCATCAATTCCTAAGCTCCATCTTTTCAACCTGCGTTTCTCTCCACAGTGGCCCGAGGAGCAACTTGTGAGTGGGGACCGTCTTGCAACCTTCGTTATTTACGTGAGTCTATTTCGCTGTATAAGTGAGTCTATTTCGTTGTATACGTGAATCTATTTCCTTATATACGTGTCGTCCCCTTCGCTATATACACTAAGTTTTGCGTTATACACATGAATCACTTTTAAATATGCTTCTATACACATATCTGCAGCTCTAAGTTATATACATCCACGAGGAAGCGCTAAATCCTTAGGAGTCACACAGTGCCTTTGTAAACATAACTCTAATCCCTTCCTCAAGAGTTCATTTCTTTAAAATAAAAAATAGAGTTATCTCAACTTTTAAACCTTGCATTAAATTATCAGAAATTTTCGAGAAATTTTTTGTCAAATTTCGATGACTGCCACAAGCTATTTTTTTTTTTTTTTTTGTAAAAAATCGTGAATTAATTGAATATTTAGCAGATGCTACTTACATATTTCGCAAATTTCTCTCTTTATTTTGCATATACATGCATATATATATATATGTCGTGCCGAATAGGCAGAACTTGCTATCTTGGCTTAAATAGCAACGCTCATCTTGCCAAATAGGACAAGTGAAAATTTGTGTATGCAATAATTTCGCCAAAATCATTTTGAACCTAACGAAAAAATATATTTCACTGTGTTTGTTTAGTATTAAATTATTGTAAACAAATCTAAAATATATTTAGTTGGGTTTGGCTAAAATAAATTGTTCTTTTTATAGTAAGGTTAGGTAAGTTTTCTAAGATTCTTTTGGAGCAAAATTAAATTTTTTTACATTAACATTAATGAAAAAAATATATCTTTAAACGTATAAGAGAAAATTTTAGAAAGAATTTAATTTTAAATGAGTTCTTGCTAATTGACCAGTTTTACATATTCGGCACGACATATATATATATATATATATATATATATATATATATATATATATATATATATATATATATATATATATATATATATACACACACATGTGTGGAGGTACAGTTGTCGGAGGTGGAGGCAGGGGGTAAAACAGCGTTCCCTTTGGTGGGTACAGCTGTTTCGCCCGTCAAGGGAGGAGCTGTCTTCTGGTACAACATCCACCGTGACGGCCAGCTGGACCAGCTGGCACTGCACGGTGGATGTCCCATCCTTCTGGGAGACAAGTGGAGTAAGTATCCTGCAGTACTTTTGCCATCCTGTGTAGGATCTTAACCAGAGGACCTGTGCCTTAATATGCAATAGAAACCATATATAACTGCGTTAATATAGTTAATTTAGGGTAACGAATTTTAAAAAAACATGACTTGCACTGTATATATACGCCATTTTGTGTGTATTTCTGGGTGTATATACGCTGAGATGCGTGTATATCTTTTTACGTATGTACACGGAAAGGTATGTATCTCTCATTATATATACCTTGAGACATTCCTGTAGTCGATAGGCTTTAAACCTAATCAGCCTTAATACACCAACCAAAGGGAAAGTCTAAAATATTAATGTTGTTTAAACCGGCCTTTTAAATGACCTTACTCAATGCATCAGTAGCTTTTAAATGGTCTGGTGATACAGACGAACTATGGAAAAGGTCACTTGTGTACAGTTCAGGGCAGTGAATTCAACGTTTCGCCCCGAGCTTCATTAGGACTGATGAAGCCACTCGTGGCGAAACGTATTCTGAACAGTAGTCCTTTTAAAGACGCATCGAAAGCTGCTGACTCATTGAGTATAATCATCCACGAGAATGATGATTATTCACTAAGTGTCATTAAAGATGGTTATTGTGGAGAGCGAAACGTTGCCACAATGAAACGTCCCATTAGTTGCACATGTGTCCTTGTATCTAATATTAAGGTAGCCATTTTGACTCTGTGTAAGGGATGTATATAGACTTTGTGCTGTATACTGACTTTTTCCCTCACTCTTCGGTTCCTGCCTGGCCGGATGTACAGCTACGGATCCAGGGGAATAAAAGGTCACAATCTAACCTAGCGTAACGTAACGTAACGTAACGTAACGTAACGTAACGTAACGTAACGTAACGTAACGTAACGTAACCTAACCTAACCTAACCTAACCTAACCTAACCTAACCTAACCTAATCTAACCTAACCTAACCTAACCTAACCTAACTTAACCTAACCTAACCTAACCTAACCTAACGTAAACTAATGTAACCTAACCTAACCTAACCTAACCTAACCTAACCTAACCTAACCTAACGTAAACTAATGTAACCTAACCTAACCTAACCTAACCTAACCTAACCTAACCTAACCTAACCTAACCTAACCTAATGTAACGTAACGTAACCTAACCTAACCTAACCTAACTCAACTTAACCTAACCTAACCTAACCCAACCTAACATAACCAAAATTAGCCTAACTTAACCTAACCTAACTTAACTTAACTTAACTTAACCTAACCTAACTTAACTTAACTTAACTTAACCTAACCTAACTTAACTTAACTTAACTTAACTTAACCTAACCTAACTTAACTTAACTTAACTTAACTTAACTTAACCTAACCTAACTTAACTTAACTTAACTTAACTTAACCTAACCTAACTTAACTTAACTTAACTTAACCTAAGCTAACCTGATGTTTTTACACAAATATAAATTCTGTCGTCAAATATATTTTTGTTTCAATACTCAAATCATTTATATTGTCTTAAGTATGTGATTTTTTTTTGTCAAATAACCCATTTCCTGTGATTTCTTTTATATTCGCAATGTAGACGTCCAGAGCATCTGGAGTTGATCCTGGAGATTGACAGTGCCATTCCACTCTTGCAGTTGCTAACAAGTGGATACACGAAGGCCCCAATTTTCAACGTCGCCTTTGCAGCCTTGATCCTGACTTTTAAACGTCACTCCATCCATCCATCCACCCATCTATCTATCCAACCATCCAACCATCCACCCATCTATCTATCCAACCATACGTCTGGTGCCAGTCAACTCACATCCATCCTCTACTATGAACTGTGAAGAATGGAGTTGACTTCACGAATAATCTATCACAATTTTAATAGACACTGATGATAAGTTACGATTTTTTCCAGACTATTTCCTGATTTTCACTAAAATTAAAAATATTTCCACTAAAAATTCATTATTTCAGTCATTGTATTGTACTCCTCCATTTTTTTTTTTAAATACGTGAGTTTAGAGTTTAGTTATAATAATAATAATAATAATAATAATAATAATAATAATAATAATAATAATAATAATAATAATAATAACAATAATAATAATAATAATAATAATAATAATAATAATAATAACAATAATTATAATAATAATAATAATAATAATAATAATAATAATAATTAAAAGTATGTAAAATGTTAAAATCTACAAAATATATAGCAAGGTAAAACAATACAAAGTTATCATTGTTAATATATATATGTTGTTAGCATTGTTATCTTCTGCAGTGTTATTAACGTTAATATATAATTTCTAATTATTGTTATTTTCTGGGATATTACTAGTGGTGGCTGGTGTTATCTTGTTTATTTGTTGGACATTGTTATCGGTCTTATCTTGTTATCTGTTATCTTTGTTAGTTTGTTCCTTGTTATCTGTTATCTTTGTTAGTTTGTTCCTTGTTATCTGTTATCTTTGTTAGTTTGTTCCTTGTTATCTGTTATCTTTGTTAGTTTGTTCCTTGTTATCTGTTATCTTTGTTAGTTTGTTCCTTGTTATCTGTTATCTTTGTTAGTTTGTTCCTTTTTTATCTGTTATCTTTGTTAGTTTGTTCCTTGTTATCTGTTATCTTTGTTAGTTTGTTCCTTGTTATCTGTTATCTTTGTTAGTTTGTTCCTTGTTATCAGTGTTTGTTCCTTGCTATCAGTCTTTGTTCCTTGTTATCTTTGTTAGTTTCTTCCTTGTTATTAGTGTTATCTTGTTCCTTGTTATTTTTGTTAGTTTGTTCCTTGGTTTATGCATTGTTAGGCTGAACATTGTTCTCATTGTTAGTTAGTGTTGTGTTATCGCTGTTAGTTAGCGTTGTTATCATTGTTAGTTAGTGTTATCGTTGTTAGTTAGCGTTGTGTTATCATTGTTAGCGTTATCGTTGTTAGTTAGCGTTGTGTTATCGTTGTTAGTTAGTGTTATCGCTGTTAGTTAGTGTTATCGTTGTTAGTTAGCGTTGTGTTATCATTGTTAGTCAGTGTTATCGTTGTTAGTTAGCGTTGTGTTATCGTTATTAGTTAGTGTTATCGCTTTTAGTTAGCGTTGTGTTATTATTGTTAGTGTTATCGTTGTTAGTTAGAGTTGTGTTATCATTGTTAGTTAGTGTTATCGTTGTTAGTTAGCGTTGTGTTATCGTTGTTAGTTAGTGTTATCGTTGTTAGTGTTGTGTTATCGTTGTTAGTTAGTGTTGTGTTATCGTTGTTAGTGTTGTGTTATCGTTGTTAGTTAGTTTTGTGTTATCGTTGTTAGTTAGTGTTATCGTTGTTAGTGTTGTGTTATCGTTGTTAGTTAGTGTTATCGTTGTTAGTGTTGTGTTATCGCTGTTAGTGTTATCGTTGTTAGTGTTGTGTTATCGCTTTTAGTTAGCGTTGTGTTATCGTTGTTAGTTAGTGTTATCGCTGTTAGTTAGTGTTATCGTTGTTAGCGTTGTGTTATCATTGTTAGTCAGTGTTATCGTTGTTAGTTAGCGTTGTGTTATCGTTATTAGTTAGTGTTATCGTTGTTAGTTAGCGTTGTGTTATTATTGTTAGTGTTATCGTTGTTAGTTAGCGTTGTGTTATCATTGTTAGTGTTATCGTTGTTAGTTAGCGTTGTGTTATCGTTGTTAGTTAGTGTTATCGTTGTTAGTGTTGTGTTATCGTTGTTAGTTAGTGTTGTGTTATCGTTGTTAGTGTTGTGTTATCGTTGTTAGTTAGTGTTATCGTTGTTAGTTAGTTTTGTGTTATCGTTGTTAGTTAGTGTTATCGTTGTTAGCGTTGTGTTATCGTTGTTAATTAGTGTTATCGTTGTTAGTGTTGTGTTATCGCTGTTAGTTAGAGTTGTGTTATCATTGTTAGTTAGTGTTATCGCTGTTAGTGTTATCGTTTTTAGTTAGTGTTATCGTTGTTAGTTAGTGTTATCTTTGTTTGTTAGTGTTATCGCTGTTAGTTAGTGTTATCGTTGTTAGTTAGTGTTATCGCTGTTAGTGTTGTGTTATCGTCGTTAGTTAGTGTTGTGTTATCGTCGTTAGTTAGTGTTGTGTTATCGTCGTTAGTTAGTGTTGTGTTATCGTCGTTAGTTAGTGTTGTGTATCGTTGTTAGTTAGTGTTGTATTATCGTTGTTAGTTAGTGTTGTGTTATCGTTGTTAGTTAGTGTTGTGTTATCGTTGTTAGTTAGTGTTATCGTTGTTAGCGTTGTGTTATCGTTGTTAATTAGTGTTATCGTTGCTAGTGTTGTGTTATCGCTGTTAGTGTTATCGTTGTTAGTGTTATCGTTGTTAGTGTTATCGCTGTTAGTGTTATCGTTGTTAGTTAGTGTTATCGTTGTTTGTTAGTGTTATCGCTGTTAGTTAGTGTTATCGTTGTTAGTG